AGTTACTTTGAGCAATACTTTGTTTTATATTTCTACATCCTTGTAGATTAAACTTCCCCCATGGAAATGTCTGGAGCTGTGTGCTGTCAAGGACTGTAGTCTTTATTCCCAGCGTTTGTGGATAGCTTTGGCTGCAAATTGCAAACAGCTTTGTGAAGATTTCTGGGTTTCAGTGCTTGCCAAGAGTGTTTATTCCCTGGGGAGATTGCATCCTGGATGTGGACACTAGCAAGCAGTTGACATAATCTTCCCCCCCAGTATATCAGTAATGTGCTGCATGATAACCTCTGCCACATCCCTACGTGACTGAACTTTTGTTTCAGTGACATCAGCCTTATAATGAGTTACTAAATGCAGCTTTGTGTACTGGTAATTCAGCCTTATGCTTCCCAATGTATGTGGTGAGCTGCTGATGGCTGGGAACACCGCAGTAGTCCAGAGAGCAGGAAAAGCAAAATGGTACTTTAAAAATTAGAGTCTTTTAAAACTCCATTGCTATGACTACCACAGCACTCTAGTAAACAGAAAGACATTCATCTTTTATTTCACATGCTTCTTGCTGAGTTTGAGAAAGGCTGTCGGGTTATTTAATCCATGCAACAGACTGTATCTAGTGTCAAGTGGCATTTTCTGTTTCATGAAAATTTCAGAATTTACATAACAGGGATCAGTACATTTGAATATGTTTTCACTTGCATATTTACAGTTTTCATTTTACCACAGGTTAGTTTTTTGTTGTCACCATTCTGTAACTCATTTACAGGTTTTTCTATCTTCTGCTGGCAGCTTTTGCAGGTTTCCCACGTTAGACAGCTCTTGAAAATGGCACTGATTCTCTCTGCCTTTTAGCTGTGAATTTCTCATTCATTAGCATGAAGGATCTTCTGGTGGGCACGGCATACATTAACTAAAAAGCCTTTTGAAACCAACAAATCACCTAAGCATACAAAGGGGAAAGAAAACCCCAACCAGCCATGGCCTATAGTATTCCACTACATTGCAGCAAGGTTTTTTTTTAATGAAATACCGTCTGACACACTGCGTTTAGGAATTGTTTATGAGTGCGTGTTTTATTTATGATTGTTGGCAAAGATCCATATTAAAATGTAGTGTAATGGTAGTGCCTCTTGACAATAAAAAGTCTTGAATTCAGCTCGTGCAGGCGCCATGATGTGACACAGCAGGAATGCTTTTAATATTGAAGGACTGGTCTTGTTTTGCCTGTGTGTTGTATTTGAGGGGCACTTAACTATTCAAGATGCTATCCTACTGTACACAGTGATTTTTAGAAAAGAAGAATGGAAATAATTGTTCAACTCACTTTTCAGATGGTTTCATTTGTTTTCAACATGTTTCTCTACTTAACCACATTTCATTTGGTTGTGTATTGTTCTGTGTTTCAGTAAAGATTTGTAAAGCAGACTTCAGTGAAGGCTCACAGGAGACACAGGCTTAGATCTGGATTAATCTTTTTCCATTTTAGGCACAGAAGAGGCATCAGGAGTTATCTCAGATGTCTGCTGAGACTTCTAAGAATGTTATAGCGTTTTTGTAACAACTACTCCTATGCCAACTACAAGAAAACCAAGACTTTATTTTTGAGGATCCAACAGTCATCCCCTCCTATGTGCCCTGTATATGAGGGTATATATACAGATATACATATATATATATATATATATATACACATTTACCAGAGCATGGGTAAATGGCACAATTAAACTAGGGGTAGGATGAATTATTCACAGTTTGACTTGGTGCACCAGGAAGAAACTTCCCTGTGGAGAAGGACGAAGACTAAATTTTTTCAGTGCCTAAAATTAGGAAAGATTTCTTTTTCTTGGGGAGAACATGACACCACGGAAGTCCTGTCCTTCAAGCACCACGGGTACAAGCATAAACACAAGGTGTCTGGGCACAAGGGACTTGATATCAAGCAGTTAAGGAGGCTGCAGGATACTACATTAACTATAAATGACAGAGAGAAGGAGTAGGAGGCTCTAGAGGAGAAATCAAACCTTTAAACACATAGATGTTATCACAGAGTAGATCAGGAACAACAAGAAGGTTGATTAGTAGGATGGATGGCTTGGAAATAAGGCTCAGCTACAGGATATGAGAAGTTTCAACCCCAGAAAATAATGAGACTAATGATCTACTACAGTGATATTTTTTTTCACAATGGCCAAATGATTCACTGCTCATGCAAAGTTTAAGGAAAACCATTTCCCTAGTAATTAGATAACGAAAAGAAAAAATATCTACAGCTGTGACAGGACTATTGAGTTAACTGTGAATCTCTCTCATTCTTAAATGAAGGGCCATATTCATTGACTTTGAGAGAGGGAAGGAGGTGGTAAAGACATGACACTTGAATTTCTTCCAGCTTTTGGCTTCATTGCTGTTTCAGAATGACTTCAGTATTTGCTGAGGCTGTGTGACATCTTTCACTGCAGTAGTACAGACTGTGCTACCCGAAGGTAATAGAAAGACATTTCTTTCAAACCAGTAAAACCCAAATCTTTTGTGGAAACTTTCTGTCTATGTCTGGCTTACCCAGCAGACCCGAGGAGTAAAGTGGTGTTTAAGTGGGATTTTTTTTTATTGATCAGTTGTTGCTACATACACTAAGAAGCTTCTACATGCATGTAGGAAGCTTCAGTCCTTATATACAGTTTTAAGTAGTTTAACTGAAGTAACAGATGAAGGAGGCACAATTAAGTCAGCAATGGAATTGAAAAGTTAATTGTTGTAGTGAAGATGACAGTCCTATTTAATTTTGGCTGTAGTGAGTGTCTTGCTTGATATTTTCAAAGTTTACTGTTTCTTTAATTCTACATTTAATATATTATGGTACTAATGAAGCACTTAGACATTATAAACAGTGATATTTGTGTTTAATGTAACAAGATACTTGCTAACAGATCAGACAGGGCAGTTACTCCCACAAGAAGGGAAAATGCTGACACCATAACGTCCTTTGGACATATTCCTTTTGCCTCAAAGATTTCTGGAGCATCTTGATCAGCTCTGTTGGTTGCAGCTGATTTAATATTATTTGATCCATTGGCTCATCCACTATCAACGGGTGTGGATCGCAGGTAATCAATGCCATCTCCTCTGCATCTGCTTCTTGTTTAAAATGCTGAGGATATCTCCCATCTCGTGAACATGTCTGCAGCTTTTCACTGCTTCCCATATGATTGTGAGAATCTATTCTACTTGATTTTGAGGATAAGGCATGTTTAGTCTCCACCCCACTTTTCTAATGCCCATATATACACAAAAAAATCAGTCCTATGGTATCTATTACAGATTATTTCGCTAAGCAACCAGACAAGTCTTTGTTCTGTAATTTAGTAGAACAAAGTAAGCCTGAACTTGACCCTCCAGCCATTTTAAGCAAACAACATCTGTGTGAAGCCATTAGATTTCCACTACATTGACTCACTGCAATGTCTTTAAGAGAAAATCTTCTTACATAACATGTTGTGGACTTCTCAGTGTCATCACTACAGCTGGTATGTTGTATCAAATATATACTGATCCTAGGTGGATCACGTTGAGCTCATTTTATTATCTCAAAAATGCTTTATCTGGAGAGTGGGAATGAAGTGCAGGAAAAAACTGTGAGTTGTCTTTTGCAAGGATGTTCAGAAAGAGATGGTGAGCTTTTAACTACCATCCCCTCAATATGCCCCTCAAAGGGACCTCCTGGGCAGGTTTGCAGGAGAAGGGGAGATGGCAGAGAGGGGTGTTAGCAGCACCAAGGAGGAGCAGTGCCTGGAAAGATGCAGACTGACTCCAGCATACAACATTTCCCCAGAAGAGGGGCTTCTTCAGCTGCCATAGGACTGAGATGCTCTGTGCTTGGCCTCCCTTTTTCCTCCCTGCACTCTCTTCCTTTTTCTTCCTACCTTGCTCCTTCTTGCAGGCTGCTGGCTTGTCTACCCTCCAGCTACCTCACAGATCCTCCTTGTGCTTCCAGGTGTAAATCCCCACCACCACCACAGTGGCACCAGCTCCCCAGCTCTCTCTCCCTCTCTCCCCACTTCTGACTTCACCAGCTTCTTCTTGGCACTGTGATGGGTACCACAGGTCTCCCAAAGACTGATCTCACTCCATGGCCTCTCCCTACCTCCTCTCCAGGGAGGCTTGGGCTGAGCTCAGTCCAGTCAGAGAGGATACAACAACTATGTGCTTCTCACAGGGCTATGGAATGGATACATGAGGAGCAGCTTCTAATTGCCATTTCACACAGGTACCCAAGTACACATCGGGGATGGCATCCCCAAATGACTCATATCCTGCTGTTTCACACACACATATGCCTTCTCAAATATAAAACATCTCTCTGGTCTGCTCTTGTTGCTCCATGTACTGTCTTGTGACCATTTTTCTTTCTGGGCTATCCCCCATGTCCCAGAACAATGCCCTGGCCCATTCCTTGCAGATCACCTCTCCCAGTGATCTTTTCCTAGTTGAGCTCTGCCTGTTCCTCTTGGCTGCTAAGGCAGGACCAGTCCCCAAATCTGCCCATGTACCTTGTATCTTTATAACATCTTCCCCATCACCACCCCAGGCTCTCCAGCTTGTTGCCACTGTACATCAGGGATATGGAAGGGAAGGGATGGCCTTGTGGTTGGGTGCTGGGCTGAACTTGGGCAGTTGGATTGTCCACACACTTACACAGTTTTGGGCAAAGCATTTCATTCCTTGCTTTGTCATCTGCAGTGAGGCCACCAAAGAACAGTGCTGGGTACATCTTGTAAATAATAAGCTCCTCAGGTGGAAACCAGGATTGTCCTATTTCTCTAAGGCTGAAGCAAACTTAAAATGCCATATCAGTACTGAGTAACATCAGCATCCATGGACCAGCTGCTACAAGTTCAAGTACCTGTATTGGAGAAGCATGTGACTGCTCCCGTTCTTTCCCCACGGACTCATGAAACCATACAGGGTTATTTTTTAGCAGCTTATGCTTGCTTTATTAGAGGCACTGGTTATAGCTGGTAGAATAAAGTAAAACCAAACTGCTGAGGAAAGTAGTAGTGGGTACTGTGACTGGAGCCATTTATTCACCTCAAGCCTGCAGAAAAAGTGAGCGTATTCCATTATCATCAATCCAGTACATATAAAGCCACTGAAATGTCATATAAATAATAGTTTTCCAAGCTGCTGTGTAGAACAATTCAGGTGGGAAGAACAATTAATATTAAATACTCTTTTCAGCTTTGGATCCATGAACACTAAAAGGATCAAGCTGGTGTTTCTTTTGAACATAGAATTATCTAGGAATTACATGTCACATCTAGAACTTCTCAGAAATTACTCTGGAGCTTTTCAGCAACAAGCTAGAAATGTAGAGTCACCTTTGCTCTACTGCACCACCTTCTTTGTTTCTGTAACTGAAGGGATGCACAGCAGAGAATGGGAATACAAATACACAAGCAACCATGAATCTGTTTATGGAAGAGGCTTTGGAGGAATGAAAATGTGTGTCCCTGAGCAACAGCCAAGCTGGTGTGTTGACTCAAATAAGGAGTGCTTAAAGAGCATTGAGTTCCTAGGTGCCCTCCAAAAAATCAGACCTGCCTGAAGCTGAGCAGTCAGAAACTATAACACTTGAAAATCTTGGCCTAGGCATGGCCTTTTGTGAAACCTAGGGGGATCATTTCATATTGGCATCAAAAGCTGCCATGAAAACACCAGGAGTAGAAGAGGGTGGCAGTGGAGCCTGTGTGTTAACAATGCAGTTCCTTGGTTTGCCTGGCTTGTGTCACAGATGTAAAGATGACATGTAAAGCTTTCATGAAAACTGTCTTTTCTTCTCCACATACTCTATGGATGTCTACAGCTTAAAAAACTGGTTGAAGAATCAATCTCTTAATTTGCCCTCCAAGTCCTGAATTTTTGCTACACTAAATAGCAGACACCAGCAGACAAACACCTCAAATGCTGGTGCTCTAAGGAGTAATGAGACATTTTTCCACATGATCTACTATCTTAAGTGCTTCATTCAACTCTTAAGGGCTTCCACCAGGACCAGTGGGGGAAGTGCAGGATTGGGGTGTTGGCATGCTTGTACTATGTGCTAAGCATTGAGCAAATTTGTGCCACAGAAAGCCTGCACTTCAAATATAAAATATGGAGCAGCAGATGGATGTAATAAAACAGAACCATACGGAAACAATGACACAATTATGAACAGCATAATAGGCAATGGTCATAGCATGCCAGGGCCATAAGCAGACTTCCTATTCTGGATTCCTAAATTGGGCATCGTAATACCTAAATAGAAGCCATCTGGCCCATCAAGGCAATCCGAGGCATCTCTCCTAGTTACTCCAATGTCTTATACAGCCAGTAGAAGTGACAGCTGTGGGTTTATACTTTTCAGCAACTCCCCTGAGCCCATCCAGCAACATTCGAGTCTGGTGCCAAGGAGGAAACAGCACGCACCAAGTTGGGCTTTTTTTCCTGCCATGCTGAGGGCTGAGGCACTGGGTGCTGTCTCAAAGCCACTTTTCAGAAGAGCACTGGTGTGCAAGGTAGGGTAGACAAGCAGCCAGAGTCTATGCCCACCTCATCTCAGCCCTGTGTTGCCTGCTCTGCTCTCAGCCATGCTGCAGTTCACAGTAGCCCACAGTGCAGTGGGACTACAGAGCTGCAGGTAGAAGTAATGGGGGTCTCTGGCTGCAGTCATCCAAATGGAGTGATATTCTGGGACTGGAAAGTTGTGATCTGTGCCCATAGTAGTGAGCAGTTTGCATCGTCTGTATTACAAAAATGCACAAGGAGGCCCAAAGCATGGACTTTCATGCATCCTAGGATGGTCCTCTCTCCCTAAGTGCCAGAAGGACGCTTGCTCTCCTGTGGTTCCCGGGTGTCCAGCATCCTTTTCTGCATCAAAGACACTAATATCATGAGAGGGTTGAAGCATATGTCTCTTTCTAGACATGTCCATCACACAGTTATGCTCTTCTGAAAAATAAAGGTTGTTCAGATCCTGAAAGGTTGAATAACTTCTAGCATTCACTTGCACTGCTTTGTGGTTGAGCAGAGTAGCCAAGAGGCTGTTATATGCAGTGTCCCTTTCTGCTTCGGTCCTTTCTTGAGCCTGCCCATGTGTGGCGTCATCTAAACAGGCTCAGTGGCTTTGGGCCTCCCACAAACTTTAAGTTATTCTGCACCAGTTGCAAAAGCTCTGGCAATGAAGTGCTCATGCTGAGACACTTCTGAGTATGTGCAGTAAAGCGTGAGCATTTACAGACAGCAGCAGTAGAAGCAGCACTGCTGGATACCTCCACAGGCTGCTGCCCCAAATGGTATATGGTCCAAATTACTTTTTTGAATAAGGCTCCTAAATTCCTCTTAAATCAGTCTTAGGTTTGCTAACAGTTAGTCTAAATGTGGTCCCTTGTCAATAAATGAACTTGAAGAAGTCTGGAGTTCCAACTATGTTCTCTGAGATCCCCAATGAATATCTTGGAAGGTTTACAGCCTTGCCACATTCTGTGGATCATTTAAGCATTTAATTTGTCAGATGCTCAGAGATTCACCATTTTCATGTTTAATTTCCTGAATATACCAGGCAAAATTTTTCAAACTCAATCACTTACAACGAGCACCTGTATTTGTATATCAATGCCTTGCTCTGCCATGCTCTGAACCCTCATGTCTGAAAATCAGCCGCTCTAGATACCTACATATGGCTTTAGGAACCTAAGTTTTGGCAGCCAAATTCATGTTTGTGATACTTTCACATGTTTTTAATAACAATCTAAACATAAACCAGACCAAAAAAGAGAGAAGTGAGGGAAAGGAAAAAAAAAAAAACAATACTCTGTAGGATATCTATGTGTTGACATAAAATATGGAATAATCCCTGCCTACTGCATCTATGTGTGCAGAGTTTTCTTTCAAATGTGAATTATTGAATCAGTAGTTCAGACTGTCCTTGGAAGAGAACTACTGTATCTCACACTTACCAAAACAGCAGGCTCCACACTGAGATGTTTTGCAGTGGAATTCATGCTTCAACAGAACGTCTTCACTTGCTGCCATGTCCTTACCTTATTTTCCTGGCATTTCTCAAAGATGAATTTTGGTGTCACTGATAAGTGAAGGTTTTTGTGTTTTCTGTTCTTATGCTGTTGTATCAGTGGGCTGCAGCTCTGGGCATCAGGCCCACTCTGCAAACTGACAGCCTCAGGAGGGCTTCTGGGTGAAGAAAAAGTTAATGGTATGATGCCACGTTTGGCAGCACAGAGGAGATGCCCAGGGTTGCTGGCATCAGAAATTACTTTGGTTTTAAATTTGCAATTTGCCAATGGGATTTGTTTTTAAACTTACAAATATGGTAGGCTCATCAGCTTACCTTCAACATCAGAAAAAAGCTGCCTGAAGCTCCCTTGACAAGCTGTGCTTTAAGTTTGTTCAGGAAAATTAAACCCACATTTTTTGTTTCATTAATAGGGGCAGGCAGCACACCACCACATCAGCGGAGTCAGTACAATGGGGTGGGGAAACACTATCTGAATGATTTGAGACTGCTGCTATGATTTCTCCATCCAGTAGACTAAAGGCCAAAAAATCCCAAATTTCTTCTGGGGACTACACTTACCTCTCTCTCTCCACAGTGGTTCTCTGGTGAACAGCAGAGCTGTGAGCATGTTTGGACAGGTCCATCCACAGTTCCTCCGGGAGGAGAGCACGGGCTGGGGATTTCAGTTAAAAGACAGAGCACCTTTATCAGCACTTCAGCTTTAACCACGATGCTGTTACTCACCAAAAAGGCCAAAATAGCATCCAGTTGTGGTCCCCTCATTCCTGCCCTCAGTCATAGTGTCAGACAGGGCTCTCAGGCTGGGGAACTCTTTTATCATACCTAGGAAGTGGTTCAGCTGCTGTGACCCTCCAGACATGAAAAGCAGGAAGTGTTTTTCACACAAAGACTGGAAGGGCATATGCCTATGCCCAAAACTTTAACTGAAATTCAGAATTATCACCATACTCTCACCAGAAGAACATTTAAGTGTGAAAATTGAGTGCTTTCACTGTGTACCTTCTTCCTGCTCCAGAGAGAAGCTACAGAGAAGAATGAGAGTTGTGGAGCTGCCACAGCCTTCTACATACATGTTTGCTGTGATAAAATCCTCCCAAGCAGGATGTGTCCAGAACCTTCAGATTTCAGTCTGGCCCAGAATTTGCAGCAGGAGCTACAGAGGCCACAAAGTTCCTTGCTCAAGCCATAAATTTAGGCAAAGATTTCCCTTTCTGTGTTTGCACCAGCACATGCATATTCCTTTCCCATGTAATGTTAGGTAAGAAGATGAATTTCACCTAGACAGAAGCATCTGATGGGGTTTAGCACTTCCATGGCTTTGTGTGTGTGACTCAGCTCACTGGCTGTTGTCAGATGTTCTATAAAGCCTTCTTCATTCTTTACATTCAGTACATCTCAGTTTGGCTTACACCAACCAAAAATCTTTTCCATGTTTTTCTTCCTTACAAGGAAAATAAACTTGTAAAGAGGGAGAAGTGAAGGGTTACATCTGGAAAGAGTTATGGCTGTGGCTCAAAGGAACAACTGGAATGCCTGTAATGCGGAAGTTCCTTCCACAAAGTCATTTCTTTCCTCATCTTGGGAAGTACAGATACAGGCTGCTGCTGTTCACAGAGCATAGCCCCAGTGCAAATTCCAGTGAGGGATGCCAACAGCATCCCTGCTGAGAGCACGGGTGGTGATTTATGGCAGTGCTACCCACTCAGCCTCATGGACACCATCAGGAGCATCTCAGCATCAGAAACTCTGCCTGTGTTGAAACTAATTACAAGAAGCCCCAGCCATAATAGTAGCAGCAAATTTTATAATTGGCTAATTCTTGGTACATAATTTTTGGTACATATTTCTGACAAACTGAGTGCTTGCAGACCCCACTGAAGTCAGCTGGCATTGGGGATGTTGGCAGAGGTAAAGACCCTTTGCCCAGATGTTAACTCTGAGATCAGCGGCACTGAGTCCACCACAGCCTCACAACTTCATTCACCTGTTACAGGTATTAGGTTGGAGGGCGACATCTTCCACCTTCAAGCTCAACTCCAAATTTTGAGGAGCATGTGGAATGAAGAAAGTAAAATGGTTTTTTTCAGTGTAAATTAGCAATGGGGGAGTACATATACAGAGGATCCAGCTCACATCTCTTACATGTCTAGGATTTCCCTCTGACTTCAGTTCTCAAGAGTTGGGGTTGACTTTTTTTCTTTCACACAGGTGAATGATATGCAGTTCAAAACCACTCCCTTTCCAAGCTGATGTAGTTTGTCATTAAATTGTTTTTAAACAAAAACTTGATTTCTTGTTCTGAAATTCAAGTTTTATCTGCATCTGCTTTTATTTTTAAAATAAGGTTTTAAAAGAAGAAACTCATCCAGACACTTAAGAAGGCTCAATTTTTGAAACCATTAATATTTATTTAAGCAAAATTTACAAAGCTATTTTAAATTCACGTGGTATCTGTAAAACTATTGCCTCTTAATTTTTTTACACAGAGTTTGTGAGTTTGTTAGTTCATATACAAATTAATTTTGGAATAATGAAAATCAGAGAAGATAATAAAACAAACTATGAGGCAGTAACATTTAGAGTGATGGATTTATTTTTATCCATTCATAAGGCATAGAGTGTTTGTATATAGAATATCCTGCACACTGTTCTTGTTTTGCTTTTCCCCAGCATGCCAGAGTCAGGACAAGGTTCTGTGACAAATATTGAACTCTACTTGTTTTTAAAAATGCCATTCAGTGGAGAACAAAAACTACCATTCCCCATTGTGGATCTTCCCTTTTTTGCCTGAGATATTCTAGCTTCTCTTTGCAGTCACTTTTTCTTTCCTTTTTGAAGTGTCTAATACAGAACAAAGCTACACCAAAGTGAAAGTATTGATTAAAAAAAGAATTTGCTATTCCTGATGATGTTTAGTGTATTTTTGGAAAGGACTGTGAGCAGAACAGCTACCAGTGTTCCAAACAAGCAACATCTGTAGTGCATCTAGCAACTGACTTCTCAAACATTTCCATGTGTGCTTGACTTGCATCTCCAGCAACTATTCCTGGTAGTTATATGTGTCACGAGAATGGATGTAGAGGAGAAAATATGTTGGAAAACAGGGAAAATCACTGTGGAAAAGCTTGCACAGACACATGGAGATCTCCTTGCTCACTCTTGGAACAAATCCAGTGGTCCCTATTGAAAGCACGGGTCTAACAGTCCATCATGATGAATCTAAAGACTATGCTGTACCTCAGATTTTGCCATTCTTCATGCTTGAGTGCTTATTTGCATCTCCTGAGCATCCAGTTATGCAGGAATTAATTATTAAATTCATCTGAGAGATATTCTGATTTGCCAGCTATTTAGCTGTCCTCACTATTGAAAATTCGTGTCTCAATTGCAGTCCAAATTTATTTTACTTCAGCACACAGCAGTTACTTCCTCTTCTTACACTTTACTTTTGAACAGGGAATTTGCTATCAATGTTATATCAATATCAATATTTTATATAAGTATTACAGTAATGCTTGTGTTTCCTATAGAATTATTGATAAAAAACTTCAAATAACACAGGAGCAGAATTGGATACGTCTAGAAATACACTCACTCATTGAAGACACTTCAGTGCCAATGTTGTCCTGCTTCTAAATCATAATTTGTCGTATATTGTCTATTTAGTTGGTAATCCACCCAATGTGAGCCACACTGATTCTGATTGAAGCTACTTTGCAGTCAAAGAACCCTACAAAATCAAATGTTTTAAAGAACTCTGCCTTTCATCACTGTTGCAGCTTTTATCAAACACATTTATACTCTCATTTTTGAGATGCAGGTACACAAGAGCAGATTTCCCATCAATGCTTCTTGATAGACCAAAAAAGTATGTTACCCACACTGCACTATTAACACACTAATGTGAAGCCAGAGCCATTAGCAACAGAGAACACAGGGTTACTCAGGAAACTACAGGATTTATTCCAGATGGAACTGTTCCATGTCAACCTCCTTTTGAGGTACTAACTTAACCCTAACAGTTAATGCAGAATCTTTTCTTGACCTACTGAGGTGACATCCAGCAAGGAAGGGATAAATCATTACATTTTACCCACATTTAGAAAACGTGTACCACTGACAGTGACAGTTTTAGTCAGTCCCAATGATAAAGACAACCCTGTTTCCTTGTCTAGCAGGAGATTGGTTGCCCTGCCCAGATCAGTCATGTCTGGGCCCTGAGTTTGTGGGTGTCTCTTCTGCTTTAAACAAATGCATTTAGATGGGAAATGCATTGTTCTGAAACCAATGCTGAAGAAAATAATTCAGGGAGGTGGTGTGGTGTGCAAAGAGAGCAGGAAAAGCTTGTGAGCATTTATGCTACAAAAAGTTAATTTTGGACTTGTTCGTCAAATGTAAAAGAGAATTCCTCTTTGGAGGCACTGATTTTAATGGTAATACTATAAAAGCTATAAAAGACTCAGGAGCACTGAAAAGAAAATTGCATCCCTTTGTCATCACAAAGTCAGAGCTGCCACCAAAACCTTCCTTCTCTCCACATGTGGTGGGGGTTGGAAGAAAGAGGATGAGTATGTCTTTGTGGATATCTTGACTGGTGTGGGAGAGCAGCTGCTCTTCTCAAAGCCTTCCACAGCTTTCTTAACGAACAAGGAAAGGGAAATTGAAAACTGGAAGTTGATAAGCATTCTAGCTTACCCCATTTCTGGTTTCCTCATATTAGAAACACACAAAATGTAGTGGGAGATAGGATGCCTCTGTATGACATTTCTGTTGTAAATGTGTTAAGTGTTATAACTGTGTGTACAGACATACTGACACAAAACTGGTGCAATCATACTTAAAGTTTGGCCTTTACTCCTAAAATGGAAAGCAGCCATGTAATTATTTACCATGACAAGAATAAAATAAACCTTGCATGCAGCATAGGTTTAAGGGGGGAAGGAGGCGGATTTTAGATATAACCATGCTCTAAGGATCCTGATTTGGCTGGGTTTCCATTGGTTTTTCTTTGGGAAATATTTCTTATCAAGATGGTTTTTGGGATCTTTCTCGTCTTTTCTGTTCCTTGGAGTTTTTTCTTAAAGAAAATGTTTTAAAATTTTAAGTATAATCACAATTTTTTATTCTTTACCTTTACAAACTCAGAGGTGCCCTAGTTTCTACCCTACTCAACATAGACTGCCAGGCAGCTGGGGGAAAAAATGCTTCTTTATAAATTGAAGCTCATGTTTCTTCCTTTCTTTACTCCCTTGTCCAGTCACCCAGATTAATTCTGAATTGAGAACATAATTTAGAGCCTTTATTGCTTTCCCTGATGCCAGAGGACATCTATTTTTTTTAATGGAAAATCTTCATAAATAATACTTTGCTTAAATAAATGTGCTACAGAAACTGAATTGTTCTGAGCCTTTTCCACCCAGGCAGCCTGCGAATGAACGGCCTCATGGAAAGGGCTGGGACACGAAGCCAGGACAGCAGTTGAGATGTTTACTAACTGTGGTGGGATGGTCTTCTCAGGTGTGACACATAAACACAGCCACTCACCTGCGTATCCACAGCAGCCTTATTAACCCTTGTTAACATCCTGATCCACACTATGCTGTGCGCTGATGTGCCATGGCCAGGCACAGCAGAGGACACCCTG